ACACGTACAAGCTGCAAGAGGGGAGCCGCCTCAGGCTCGTCGGTCAGGGCCCTGGCTAGATAGAAAACGAGCTGCACAGGGAGCAAAACACCACAGTGGAGAAGTGGCGTGCCTTGCTGCGGATCTGTGTGCGATCCGCCTGTCGCCGCGGGTCGCCGGGCGTTGGAGCCGGTGCCACGGTGGCGTCTGCCGGCCTCGGCGGGGTCTCTCCGAGGTGCGAGAGACATTTGGATGAGGCTACCATCGCGGACAGGTGACTTGATACCCACTTTGGCATTGGGGAGCGAGAAACGGAGTCCATCCAGCTCGTCCAATAACAACCACCACCATATCTCCGGACGCGCCAACTCATACCACGAAAGATCAAAGACTCGACCTTCTGGCAGCCGTAGCACCGGGTCACAGAACTGAGCAAGGGCAACCCCATAGCTTGAGTTAGTTAGAAATGTAACTAATAGTTAAAATTTTACCTTCGGCAAAATTTTAACTATTAGTCAAAACTCATTTATGGATATATAGTCTCGTTTGGGGGGGAAAATATCCTTAATGTTTTGTGTCCCGAAAAGCTGTGATTAAGGATATTTGCGTTTTGACTAAAAGCTACGATTAAGGATATCATATCCATAATCGCAGCTTTTAGGCACAGCTCTGGCGACGAAGTTTGGTCGAAACTTCGACCGAACTTCGTTGCTTGGTGTCGCTGTTTGCCGGGGCTAGGTGACGAAGTTTGGGTCGAAGTTTGAGTCGGGGTTTGGGCTGCCTTTCGTGTGCTTTGTTGTACGCCGACGAAGTTTGTGAAGAAGTTCAGAACGAAACTTCGTCGAAGTTTGGGCCCCGGGCCATATCCAGAATTCGTAGGATTCTGGATATCGGTTTTGGAGATCTTGAAACCCCAAAACAACGAGGATATTTCCTAGGATTTTGGAGATGACCGACAAGACTAGATCGTAGGATTTTGACTATTATCAACCTGGGATTTTGGATATCAACGAGGATATATATCCTTAATTGAGTTTTGACTATTAGTCACGATTATGGATATATCGTGTGATTATCCTAAAGGTAAAATTCAGACTAACTCAAGCTATGGGGAATGGAAACTGCCAAAATGGGTGTGAGGCACACCCGAAAAGCCTCTCACTGGGCGTGCAGTGTCGCAGCATGAGTGCGCGATCGGCAAAGTCTACCACGCGCGCGCCGAAGTTCTGAGGGCTGATCTTCACTTCACACGCCGGCAGCGAAAGGGGGAGCGGTAGGAGGGAAAGGCAATCTTCTCTGCAGGGAGAAGTTCCCGAAGAGCCGTTGCGCTATCAGGGCCCTCGATGAGCCGCTGTCGTCTGCCCGTGGCCTGAAAGGCGCGCAGGATTGCATGTTGTTCGCCGAAGTCATCCTCCTCCTCAGGTGGAACACTCTTGCTGGGGATTGCATCGACGCCTGGCACCAGACGGTCAGGCGGGATGTCAACAGCATCTAACAAGGTAGCCACACGCTGGCTCCATGCCGTGTCAGGGGCCTTGGGGACGGAAGCGGCGCAACTTTGGCTGCGGAGCTTGGTTGTTAGGCCGGGATCCTCGTGAGTAGGCACGCCGTCCGCTGGATCGGGTGAGGCAGATCCATCGGTATTGTAGAGAGCACGGGGCAAACTGGTGGTGGCGGACGAGCAACACCGTGTCAACTGTGTCAGAAGCAATGGCATAGAGGTAGAAGACACCAGGAACGGAGGCGACCAGCACCTCGGCGGCCTCATTCCGGCCCCGACACACGGTGGTTTGCGTGTCAATCGCAATGTGTGCCCCGATTGAAGACCGATGATGCGTGGAACGGACGGCAGCATAAGCGCGCTTGGGCGGCTTCGGGCCCAGCCCCTTGTGGGCACGAAGGCGGTGGAGGCTGAAGCGTGGCGGGTTCGTGAACTCCAGCAATCCACAGATGGGTTGTTGGTGTCGAGCACCGGGTAAAATGGGCGTACTCGAATGGGCTGACCAGCGGGGCCACTGTGCTCAAATTCAACGCCTCGCAGGAGCAACTGTGCAGGGTAGCCAGGCAAGCCACTGGCGGCAACCAGTGCGCAAGCATCACAGAGTGGCGGCACACAGTTGACAGACCAATGCCGGTAAAATTCAGTGGCCGTATCCTCGTCCTCTCGTGGCGGGCGTTGCGCCCCCAAACGTGCAAGACCGTAGGTCTGGTAGAGAGCCTCCCAACTGATGGAGGTTTGGTGGAGCGATGCATGGAGCTCCAAGGCCGCAACAATGCCCCACCAATGGGAGGGAGCCGCAATGATCAGTGGGCCCGTAGGCCGCGTGCTACCGGCCGTGAGCCTTTGGTGTGCATCCTCCCCCTTCATGGTGAACCTGCCGGCTTTGTCAACCAGGCAGATATCCACCGCCCCCGTGGTGCCGGCACACACTGTAGTGGTAAAGAGGTCAATGAACACTCCTAATTCATTTCTGTGACCGTAGAAGAACTCGAAAAGGGATTTAGCTTGTGCCTCAGTTGTCAACAATCCCGGAGAGGGGAGATCGGGCAACCGCTGCGAAATGAAATCCGAGAACGACGTACCCTCATCAACCACCCGGTGCGCGGCGCCGGTATCCGCATTGGCGGGGCGTGGGTTGCTCAGTCCCAAACCATGCTTCAGGAGTTCAAAGACCCTGGTGGTTGGCGTGACAACGGTAATTTTCCGTCCGACCTGCACCGCAATGCGGTGACCGCATACATTGTAGGCCAGGACCAGGAGAACGCAAAACCATTCAACCACCAGGCCTCTCTGTACAATATCGATGCTTGCCTGGGTAGCCTGACGAAGTAGACGCCCGATTGATGGGTGCCATCAGCATTCGCTGCGCCCGCCGCGCACGCGTGTCGGCCGCTAACTCCCCAATGGTGACTGGGCATGGTGAGGAGTCAGTTGCAGGAAGCAGGAGATTGGACTGCGGATATCGAATGGCAGTTATTAACAGGTAAAGATCCGCTAGCAGCCGCGTAGAGGCGACCAAGGCGAGGTTCAAGCATACGCCATTGATGGGCTCGAGCCCTTCCGCTTGCAAAGCAGAATTAGCCGGTGCAAGTATTGCTCCGACTGCCGACAGGCGATTGAGGTAGCACAGTAGCGCTTCGCTGTGAGAGGAGGACTGGTGCAGGAAGTCCACGGCTATGGCGGCTGGAGTAAGGCGCCCTGGGCGCGGACAGAGCATATCGCCTACTCGTACGATGCCAGAATAGGGAACGAAGTATTTCGCTGCCTCATAGTTCACGCAGCATCCCCGGAGGTCACAAGATCCTCAACAAGCCCCACCTCCACAGGGTCTCCCGATCCGAGAGGCACTCCGAGATAGAAGAGCACAGGGTCAAGCTGGTACCCGGCGGGGGCTCAGCCCCATGATGGCCATCATAGCGATGGCCAAGGCTAGACCAATGGACAGTATGGAGCGGCCCCCCCGGCGAGGTGGACTGCACCAGGCCCCGGAGCGCGTGAGGCATGCGCCCGGGAGGGAGGGGGGAGGAGCTAGCAGGGCGAGTCCACGGAGTATGTAGCTGCACCTCGCCTTTACCCCCGCCTGTGGGTTGGCGTGGGTCGCCAGTGCGGATGACGAGCTGGCAGTCCGCATTCGCCAGTATGGCGGCCGACGCCGGGAGGCCCTCCTGCTGTCCCTCGTCAATGACAATGACATGTGCGTTTTTGAGGAACTCCTTCACCTCGTTGTAGGACGAATGTGCTTGCGATGGACGGAGAGGCGCGACGTGTGTCCCGGCCCCTGGTATCCGGCCGGGTCGTAGCAATTTCGCCCAAGCTTGCCGCCATGTGCTCCGCCGCCTCCGTGAACGGCACATGATCCAAGTCCGGCTCAATCATTTCAGCATCGCCGGAGACACGCCGAACCACAAGCAGTGGACGGAGCCATTGAGGCGCATCCGCCAAAAGATTGGTAGCGATGCGCACGACCGCAATGAGAGCAGAGTGTTGCTGAGCAGTCCAACACACGTTTTGCTCTAACACGGCATCAAGGCAGACCAGCGCACACCACAAGGAGAACGTTTTGGAGAATCCAGCACACCCAAGGATACCTAAAGAGCTGCGCTTGGTGGCGCGCGCCGCCAAAATTGCCGTGATGTGTCCAATAAGGAGGCCATCTGGGCTGGCCAGCAGCCCGGCAATGTGGCGACAGAAGGCCTCGCCAATAAGAGCGGCTAGGGTGTGGAAATCGTCCAGAATCAGCGCAGGGCTGAGTCTCCAATCGCAGTGCCCAGAAGGCCCAAGAGTCTTTAAAAGTTGCAATGACCACTTTTTAAAGACTATAGTCCTTATTCACATACATTAATGAAGGAGTACACTCCTCAAATAAGGAGTATACTCCTTATTTAAGCACTATAGTCCTTAAAATATAAGGAAGCAAGCTTTAATTAAGGCAGACACCCGTTATTTAGAATAGATTCACACAATCCTAAATTAAGGAAGGTTCGGGCGACCGCGGCGTGTGTGCAGGGCGAGGATAGGCACGACTTGATGTTTCCCTTGCTTTTCTTTTGCTTTGCAAATTTTTGGGCATAGTTTTGTTCCCCCAGACAGTGCTGAGGAAGTCGAATATATGGCTATGTTTTGTTTTACTATTAAATATATATATACATATATATATATATATATATATGTATATATATATATATAATTGTATGATTTCATGAATATTAAACATGACCGACATGCAGAAATGCATGCAAATGCATGCATGCATGTGATATTATAAGTGCACAGCTAGGAGATCCATGTCTTCCGGCAGGTCTCCTTTAGAAATGAGGAGACCACATGGGCCTCCATGCACATGCGATCATGCCATGAAATGTATATATATATATATATATATATATATATATATATCGATCATGCATGCTACAATATGAGTATATTTATAAAGTGTCGAATAATAATATATTCGTGATATCATGAGCGTGCATGAATTAGTCGGACTTTTCCCCAACTCGCAGATCGAGAAGCCGATGGATCAGCACAATTCTGGAACTGCATACATGGATTTCCAGCGTAAGAAGTAAGACTCTGCCAGTGCTCGCACGGTGTTGGCACCGCCTCGCCGAAAAGCTGCCATTGCAACCTTGCCAGCAAAATCCTCATCCCTGTAGCACCAGTTCGCTGAAGGAGAGCAGGTGCAGCAGTAAGACAATTCCAAAAACATGTGCAACTTAGGCTTTATTTTGAAAAGCTTCATGCCTAGTCTCTCCGCCTCCTTGTTGAGATCCACGTATCTCGAAGCGAATTCGAAGGCCTCCTGTGCCAAAGTGGCCGGCTGAAAGGAGTCCTTGGAAAGCTGATCGTAGCAGCGAGCGAAGGAGCTGGCAGCTTTCATGAGCATGTTGTCGAAGGGCTCTTCGGGGACTAGCACGGCCTGGGCCAGGATCTCGCTGAACGGCACCGATGCTCGGCTCTCCGCCGCTTTCGCCCGAAGCTTTGGGTATGGTTTTCCTTTACCCTTGAGCATAGTGGGCTTCAGTTCGCCCAACTGGCTTCCGACACTGTTGGCGGAATAATATTCCTTGATCATGAAAAACAGCTCACGGCATGCCACTTGCAGGTTGCCTCGCAGTTTCTTCAAGCACACGTAGTGAAATAAGCTTCCTTGAAACTCGAGGGCCACCCCGATGTCCACTATGTGGAGCCAATCGAGCTGGCACATTGCCAGCGAAAAAAAAGGAGAACCAAGCAGAGGGCTCTTCCTGGGCATCTCGCACACGGCATCCCAGTGCGACTTGCGATTGTGCATCCAGGGAGAGTTAGGAGCCACCATATGCAGCTCGGAGGGCTTGATGTTGCACAACCAGCAGCAGCCATCTTTCCTGTTCCTTAGATGGAAAAATATATCATCGATGTCTATGATCATGCATGTCTTATAACATATCACCCAAAAAATAGCTCTATATATTTACGTTTCCAGCATATCTAAATTTAAATGAACATTTGTATAAGCTAGCCTCCTTTATAAAGGAGGCTAGCATAAAGGAGACCCCCCTATCTCCTATATATAAAAAAGCCAAATAATCTTAAAGCAATTTAAAACATCGAACCAATGCAGCTGCTGCTGGCCAGGCCGGCATGTACAACGTCTGCTTGTAGAAGGCCCAGTCGCCTCGGACTTGAATCAGGAATGCCCTGGGTAGTTGCAATCCGCTTCGTGCCCTCCTTGCTTTGTCGCTAGGCAACCATGCCATCCCATCGTGGCGACTCGATGGCGAAATGCCTGCTGCGAGAAAAGCGAAGGACCAGGCCATGATCGACAAGACAGCATCCCATGTGAACTCCTTCAACATCAAATGCTTTTGCATCAAGGCTAAGGGAAATCGCAATGCACCTCGCTGAGAGTGGCTGAGAATGTTGAGGGATAAGACTTCCGCCGATTGGGTACGATCACGAGTGATCGGAACCCCATCGCCCCAAATCCCCAGGGCCACTGCAGAGCCCTCTTCCAAACCAGCCTTCTCACAGCACTGGCGGAGCAGAGCCACCTCGCCCGGCTCCATGCAGCTTAAATCCCTCATGGTGTTTAAGCCGGCAGCCTTGGAATCCAGTGCATGCAGCAGCTCATGGGGAAGCCACAGTGGCACCCACTCCTCGGTTGCCACTTGCCGAGCCATGCACCAAAGCGGCAGCTTGCACCAATACGGATCCGGCCAATGCCGGCTAATGCCAAGGCGGCGCACCAAATCCCTTTTCTTAGGGATGTCATCCGCTCGGCCGGTGCCACATGCAGCCAAATCCTTCACATTTTCTGCATTGGCTAAGTCCGCATCTCGAAAGAGGCGGCTAGCTTCGATACCAGAAATGGTATTGCTCAGCATCAAATTGCCGATGCGTGTTCTTAACCTTTTTGAAGCTTCCACCTCCTTCAAATCTGTTTGGTGCTTTTTCGAAGGCAACATGGCTCTGGACTGCAACCGATATAAGGAGTCAATTAAACAAAGACTCCTGGCGACTGAGCTGGGCTTTTGTATATGAGGAGATCGCTTATTTTTCGGTTTGTTCTGAGGAGGGTCCACCTCCTGCAGATGAGCCGGAGGCCTTGTTGCATCATGATCGATTTAAAGAAACAAAACTTATAAAAGTTGGAGGCAAACGGCTGCAGCGAACACCAATTAAGTACACAAAGACAGTGGCACATGCAGCATGTGCATGCAAAATCTGGGGATTTTTTTTGCCTGGCAGCGATCGTCCATGCATGCCGCCGCTCCTTTGTTCAAAAACCAGGAACCTCATAAGCAAAACCTAGTACTGCCTTCACTCGTTCATCGTCTTCAACTTCTTGATGACTCTGCCAGCAGCATCCACGTGCACACCTGCCTGCGTGTTAATGTCCTTGGCCTGCTGGACCGACTCCTCGCTCCCGACGTCCAGGGCATCGAGCTTTGCAAAGTCCTCCCTCAAGGTGACCAGGAAGTTGTCGAGTGGTGTGAGGGCAGGCCCTTAGTGTTCGCGAAAACCTGGAGATCCTTGATCGTGCTCAGGTTTCTCTCGACAGCCTTTTTCCCGGGGTTCATGGTCTGCAGCTCTTACCTCAAGGCAACCAAAAGGGGATCCCGGACCTCGATTGAAGGCTGATTGGGGCTGTCCTGCAGGGCCTGCTTCTTCTCCTTGTCGTTCAGGTTGTACCCGGCCTGCATCGTCTCTTTGTGACGAACTGTGTCCGTTGTCGTTGTCATCTTGGTTTTGCCGTAGTGGTAGCGACGTTCCCCGGCTTTCGCAAGGGCTCGCTCACGATTATCCTCTTGGTTCCATTCCTCATCCCAGGGGATTTCCTCGAGGATGGACTCCCAAAGCTTCTTCTGCTCGGGGATCTGAAGGTTCAGGTTCTCCTGGTCGGCGATCTCCCAACCTCGGATGAGAAGCCAAGCATGCCCATCCTCCTATTATGTATGCCTGCATGTTCCATATATTCTCTAAAACAAGAAACTACAGTATATACAGAGCTATGCGATCTATAAAGACATATACAAACTTCTTCTGACCCCACACCGCAACCTTTTCATCCTCTTGTATACAGCCAGGAGAGCATGCATATGGTTGGCTACTTGATGCTCGAGATCGATGCTATAAGTGCATGGAATCCCACCAGAACAATTAAGGAGGCTGCAACGAACCTACCTTGCAACCTCCTTGTATTAATTGCTAAGACTTACTTAGTCTCTCCTGATCGCCCAATCGATCTGTTCGGCTCTTTCTTGCGAATTGTTCTTAGGAGTTCCGGAGAACTCCTGTGGACTTCAATTGATTAGTTGCATGTGTATATATATATATATATATACATGAACACACACTGTATTCGAAACAACTTGCAAGGCCAAGGCACGAGACAAGAACCCACCCACCTTGCTGGCGGTGGTCGCCTTGTCGCTCTCCAGGGACTGGATCTTCTCGGCCCACATCTTCCCTGTCTTGTCTTGCTCCCAGGAGGAGAGCATTTGCATCCTTTGCTCGGTGGCATTCCGAGGCAATTGGCAATAGTCGTCGTAGAATTTCTTCTTGCTTCTGAGCTTGCCGACTTCCTCTTCGCTGAGAGTTGCTTTGCCGCTGTCGTGATCCTCCAACTTCTTCACTGCATTCTTGCATTGTGTTACCAGGTTGCTGAGTTTGCCCTTGACAGGGTCCTTTGCCTTCTCAGAGGCGTCGCCTTGTTCAGCACCCGGCTCGACTTTCACGGTCACGGGCACCGGCTGCGTTTTGGCCTTCGCTGCCGTGGGCTTAGCCTTGGCCTTGGCCTTGCTCGCCCCGGTTTTGGCCTTGGCCTTCGCCGTGTGTCGGGTAACCCCCATGACCAAAGCGGTCAAGGGCAGGAGGCTCGCCATGATACTTATTGCGAGCATCCTCAGAAAGTTGGTACCTGTAGAAGGGTGAGACTTTAAGCTAAAGATCTGAGCACTGGCAAGTTTTAGGTACGGGGAATGCAGCAAATGCAGCACCTCAATATGCATGTCACTTGCAAATGCAGCCATTGCAGGGCAAGCTCCCATTTCTTCATAGCATATTATATGTACATGCCATGGATATGACATCTTGCCCTCTAGCCCCGGCGACTCTTGCGGAAGCATCGGGTGCAATTGTGGTGCTTGCGCGGCTCCAGGCCTCGAGTGCACCATTGCTCCCTGCACTGGTGACACCTCTGTGGACAAGGATCCTGAGCATGGGGTGGGGGCGGTGGGGCTTCCGGAGCAGGATTAAACGGCTCTCTTGGGCCGTCTATCTCCACCAACAATCGCCCGATAAGTGCCCTTTGCTCGGCGGTGGGACCCATCAGGAGAGCTCGAAATCCAGCCTCCTCCGGCATCACCACCGTCGTGGTGGTCCTGGCGACGCATAAGTGCAGACATTGGAAAGAAGTAGGGATTTAACTCCATTTAACTGGGCATTTAACTTGGGCTATTCATAATTTCTTTGAAAGAAGACAAAGTTAAATCCCAGTTAAATGGAGTTAAATTTCTGACTCTTTCAAAAATTAGAAATCGGAACGGGCAAAAAGCGCCTGGTCGAAGATCCTCCGGACATCGGTGTTGCAACCTCGGCAGCAGGCAGGCTGGGCCATTCTGATTCCGGTTATCCGGGTTTGTAAATAATATATATATATACATATATAGGTTTAATTTAAATCTCCTCGACGATCCAGGAGACTAGGAGGTTTGCCTCCTGCTGCCACAGCAGCCGCCACCCATTGTCAGGCAAGCATATCACTTGTTTGCATATGATGTAACATATATATATATATATATATATTATATACATGCACTAAATAAATTAACATATATTAATATGTTTGTAGTATCTTAAATATCATTTAAGGTTGAGGGTTTAGGGTTTAGGGTTTAAAGGATATATATATATATATATATATATATATATATAGGTCCAGGAGGAACATTGCATGCATGTTGCAAGCAATTGCACTCTCCTCCTACAGCTGAAACAAACATGTTGACAGATCCCGGGACCAAGCTCTTGTGCAGGAGACCCGGGCGAGCCTCCTTTCCAGAGCTGTGTAGGATATGTACCTGCATGCATCCATGGTGCATGAATGCAAGGCATGCAGCCGACTCCTTTAGCCAACAGGAGTGCAAAGCATGCAACTCCTAAGGAGTCTTTTGACCCGGAGCTCATACGATCGATCGTGCCTCCTGTGCATTACACAGTCAGCATTGGGATCATTGATCCACCGCCTGCAGCGCCAAAACCTGGGCCCTTATTGTCTGGGTCAGGATCATTGCCATCGGGGCCCTTCGAACCCGGGAGGGGTTCGTTCTCATGCTCCGGGGCCTCACCATCCTTCTCTTCCTCCTCGCCATCCCCCTTTGCCTTGGACCATTTATTCTTTTGGCGATCCGCCCACCATGCTTTGCGTTTGAGACCTCAGCTGGAGACACACACAAACATGCATGGAAGCATCTATAGCACAGACATCAACATGCATGCATAATGCAACACCAGCCACCCTTGTTCTTCTTGCGGCGCTGGTTCTGCACATACCATGCCATATCCGAGCTGGAGGTGATCTCCCTCCCTGCCCACGTCTTGGCAACATTCAGGTCCTTCACGTCGACGTAGGTCAACTGCAGGGCTCGATGATTTTAAAATTATAGTTATAACCAAACCATGAGAAACAGCTATAATAAATGCCTCCGAGGATCACGGCAGCTTTCATTGAGGCAGATACCCTTCCGCCAGTAGGACACTTGCTTGCAGAAGTTACAAAACCTCAACTTGCTGTCCTCACGGCCAGCTGGGCTTTGCCACGGGCCGGCGGTGGGTGGCATGGGCGGAAACGGGGGTGGGGCTGGCACGAATCCTGTGTTGGGTGCAGCAGGCTGGGGCGGCGTCTGCTGCAAGGCCTCCACGGCCGTGCTCAACCTGTTAACCGCCTGGAGGATATCACCGCTGTTGCTTGCAGCGGCACCCATGATCGCGAGGGAAATGCAGGTGGGCCCCTTGATAGCAAAAGCTCACGGGGTGCGGAATCAGGATGCATGTGCCATGCATCCTATATATGTATACAGCCTGCAACCCCTGCGGAATCCAATGCATGCATCATAGGAGGACTAATAGTCCTCCTAGAAACATCCAACCTGAAACTGATGGAAATCCAACTTGAACATCACAGGAGGACGACAGTCCTCCTTATAACCCTGAAACATCAAACCTGAAACTGCAACCGATTCCTGAAACATCAAAGCTGAAACTGACACTTAACCCTGAAACATGAAACCTGAAGTTGAAACCACTCTGACAAAGACCCTCCGAACCTGCAAGCCCTCATGCACTTCGCAAACACTGGGAGGGCACCAGCCGGAAGTGAAGCGGCAGCTCGAAGAGATCTGGCCGTGCCTGCAGCGGGTCATGCACATCATGCTGCATCCTCTTTTGAAGCTCTTGGGTGCATTAGGAGGACGTAGCAGCCAGCCAAAAGCGCATTAATTCGTGACTCCTCGACCAGACAAGAATCCCCACTTATGTTGCCATCCCAAACTACAGAATTATGTAAAACATGGCAGTCGATGCAACTGAACAGGAACACTGGGTTGGGCACCGGCCGGAGAAGACCCGGAAGAGAAGCAGCTTGTCCAGGACGTCGACGGCAGTACCTGCAGAGACGAAACATGTATACAGAACTGACATGTTGACATGAGAGCAGAAGCAGAAGGACAGAAACAAACATGCATGCACTGATAACCCTCGTGTCAAGCATGGCACCTTTTTCCTAGCTCAAACCCTCTAAATATTTAAATATCACTCCGACACGTAGCCGGCAGCCGTTGCCGCGGGACGGCTGCGATATCGCGAGTTCTGGGGCGACGCCAGGATGAAGTAGGTCCCTTTCTGCTTGCCACCCCTCTGGAACAGCATCTTCTTCCACCCATTGGGCTTGTCCTGAATCTCCGGGCCCCCCTTCTCCTCTTCATTTCCATTTCCATTTTCATCTCCAGCCTCCGCCGCCTCAAGAGCGGCTGGCTTCTTGAGAATCTCACCCTCCGCCGCCTGAAGAGCGGCTGGCTTCTTGAGAATCTCACCCTCCGCCGCAAGAGCGGCTGGCTTCTTGAGAATCTGAAGGGCCCGAATCTCAGGATCGTCCTTGGCACTGCGAACCTTGGCCTTCTTGGATCCGCCCTTGGCTTTGGAACTCGACTTGGCCTCAGCTTCATCAGGCTCCGGATCGGTCTTCGTCGCCACCTCGCCGCCCCCATGCTTGACCTCTGCCTCGGCCTTTTGCTTGGGCTTGGCTTTGGCCTTCGCCTTGGATTTGCCCTTGGCTTTCGGAGCCGACTTGGCCTTATAGGCTTCGTGTCGCCCGTGTCCTTCTTCTTGTTGTTCTTCTTCTTCTTGCCAGCCTCCTTGTCCTCCGTCTCGGTGAGGCCTCGGGAAGACAAGGGCTCAAGGGCTGCAACAGGCCTGGCCAGGATCTCGTCATGGTGTCGAAGCACACGGTCTGGAACACCTGGGCGAGCATGGCCTGGCTCCTCATGCATTTCGCCGCTCTTGTCGACTGTCTTCCATGTGCATGCTTTTTGATCGAAGAACGTCACAGCAGCATCAGGCTGATCATTTGGAAGAGGCTGGACCTCCTCACTCGAGCTTATCTGCTCGATCTCCTCGGGCTCCTCCAAGCCGCTGGCTGCAGAGCTTCTGTGCTCCATCTTCTCGGGCTCGCCGGTTAAGCCGTACATCGCGAAGATGTCAGCAGCGGACTGTTTTCCGGTGGACGACACTCCGCTGCTGGAAGCTGCCTCGGGGACGGCAGCAGCAGCAGCAGCAGCAGCAGCAGCAGCGGTTGCTGCTCGAGATCTGCTGGGCCTGGCAGCAGCCACGGCGTGTGCGGCTACTGCTGCTACGGTGGGCTTCGCACCCTTCCATATATGTCCCAATTGGAACTTTTGTTCTGCAGCCTTATTTTTTCCAACTTTTGTATGATGCGAAGCACCGAACCATGAGTGCGAACTCCTGTCGAGACGCTTTTCGCCTTGATTCTACAAAACTGGACCGCTGCCGCTAGCTGTCTGCCGAAAAAAGAAGCTTCACTGGGACCCGTGGCCTCGAAAGCCTTGAGGCAAGCCTTTTCAAGCAACAATTTCGTGGGCCTCGGGGTCAAGTCTAACAAGTCCAAGATGAAAGCTTCGTACGAGGAGCAAATCTTCTCACAGTCTGTTTCCTTGTACCCAGAGTGCAGGCTTGTGCAGCAGCCTCTCAAAGCTTTAGCAGCCTGTTCAACAGTTGCCGTGTTGGCAGCTCGGTTAGTGATCATGGTGCTCATGAGCCAAAATGCTTCACAAGCACTTCACAAGCACATGTACATGAAAAAGTCTGCACTTAATCCTGCGAACATGCATGCCGTGCAGGAGGTCGCCTCCCAGTGGGAGACGTGGCCTCCTAAGAACTTGTGACACTCCATGCCATGCATGAATCCTGGCAGCCCGGCCTCCAGCAAAGCGGGCCGCCCACCAGATCTGTCCAAAAACTTGAGCCAACCGGCCCGGCGACACATGGCAGCGGTCGAAGGAAGACAAGCAAACCCTGCAAACTGCATGGCTGCACGCACGCATGCGGATAGAATCGCCATTCTATTTTGTGCCAAGCATGATCATGCACCTGAGGCGCATCTCTTCGGGCACTTGCTCTGATATCCTACTTATTGAGACCCAAGCTGGGCAAAGCATGCATGTTCTAATTAAGCCGCTTCGATCAATCCCCAGATCTTTTCCGCTTTCGCGGCGACTGCTGACCATCAGCTGCTTCCTCTTCTGCAGGTCTTTGCAACAGATCCTGTCGGATCTTCTTGCGGATCCAGGCCTTCGTGCATGGCCACCAGTTCTTCCACCACGATGCCCCGTCACTCTCCCAGTTGTACCGCCACTCGAGGGCAGCATCAACAGGAGATCTCGACCGATCCCGGTGCATGGCTTCGCGATGGTTGAATCAAAGCTATGCTCGATCTTAAGCGGCTGCTAGCATATACATTGCATGAGCATGCAGCACAAAGCAAGCAGCATGCAAACGACGTGTCGAAAAAACATGCATGCATACAGACAAAACATGTATATAATATACAAAAAAAGGGTGTAGTATATATAGGATCGAATTCGATCCTGCGATATATATATATATATATATATGCATGCATCGCGTTCATATGCATATATATATATATATATTATAGGAGTTCGATCGAGATCGAACTCCTTCGATCATGCAATCGCGACATGCAAATCATACGAAAACAACAGACTTTAAATAAGGATTGTAATCGGCTTTAAATAAGGCTTGTGATTTTTCACCTCATCAACGCTATTTAAGGACTTTGATTTTTAAGGAGCATGCATTTAAGGACTCTTGGGCCCTCTGGGTGGAAGGCATCCCGCGGGTTGACCCGTTCCGCCAGGGAGCGGAAGTCGAGAATCCGCTTGCGGAAGACAACTTCTCTTGAGCCGAACGACTTGGACCAAACAGCTGCAAAAGTTAAAGGTCGCAAAACTTGAGTCGCACAGTAAGCTGAAAGGTTTAGGAACACCGACTGAGCTGCAAGGTTAAGCGAAACGGCACACTGAAGCACTGATGAACGTCGGACTTTTTCCTTCGGTGACTTTGGGAGTAGATGATCTGCGAGTGCCGGTCGGCACATCTTCGTATCCGCGGTGCATGCCCTTTGGCACAAGACTATACCTAACTACAGCAGGGAGTTGCAGCCCTCAGCGAGGGGCCCTGCTAGCATTCACCCCGGGCGGGTGGGCGGGACAAAATTTTTGCTCAGCTTGAGCATTCGCACTGCAATCATCAAGAGAGTGATTCGCGCACTGCAGACGGAAGGAAATGCATGTCGCTCAGTGAAATCAAGAAAAGGGCACACGAAGAAAATGCAAAATTGTAAAGCATGTCATTTTTCAAGAATGGTCCAAGGCGGCCCACGCGAGGGCCTTCGTCCGGTCTCAAGAGAATCCACTATCTCGGAGCGAGACTGTGTGGTTCTCTTGAGCCGAACGACTTGGACCAAACAGCTGCAAAAGTTAAAGGTCGCAAAACTTGAGTCGCACAGTAAGCTGAAAGGTTTAGGAACACCGACTGAGCTGCAAGGTTAAGCGAAACGGCACACTGAAGCACTGATGAACGTCGGACTTTTTCCTTCGGTGACTTTGGGAGTAGATGATCTGCGAGTGCCGGTCGGCACATCTTCGTATCCGCGGTGCATGCCCTTTGGCACAAGACTATACCTAACTACAGCAGGGAGTTGCAGCCCTCAGCGAGGGGCCCTGCTAGCATTCACCCCCAACTTAGTCCTATTACTTAAGACCTTGAACGTCCTTCAAGCAGTTGTCCACTCTCCGAGAGACATTCGACCTGAGGAGTTGCACCCCCAACAAGTTCAAGCTGTCGCACTCCACCCTGGACGGTTCGTCCGCCGGGTTCGAAGGGGATGGTACCCTGGCGAACCAAGGAATGATCGCTGAGCTATGCTCTTTCTGAAGAAACGACTCAAGAAGTCTCCTAGCGACTGATGCTCGGGCATTTGCAGAGATAGCTGCATCACGCACACCGTTATTATCCACAAAGAAGATTGCCGTGTGCCCCGTCAAGTCCTCCAACCACACGTCTAGCGCCACAGCCATTGCTAGCATCTCCGCCTGGAATATGATCTGGGCAGAATTCTGCTCACCAAGAAAATTTTTCTGTGCTTCGCTCAAAACGAAGGAAAAGAATTTTCGAGGTAACCCATTAGGATCCACTAAAACCCCACCTAGGCCGCAGAAACTATTTCCTGCCCCTGGTTCGTACGAAGCATCTGTGTACACATGCCACGATCCTCCATCAAGGATCTTGATCAGACGCGGGGCCCCGTCATCGAGACGAAGCAAGAACCTCTCGAGAGAGGTCCTGAGTTCACGACCGATGACCTCCTCAAAGCCGTAAGCATGCGAGGTGATCAACCCCAAACACTTCTTTCCAGTACGGCCGAAGATTTGCGAGTCGGCAAACTGGCACCTGCCTCTGAGCCTGAGTGCCTCGTGATGCGGCAACCTACCTGATTCAAGCACTTTGCCCACAAACGCCTTGATCTCGGAAATCCGCTTTGCAGTGTTCTTGAAGCTTATGGTGCCATCAAGGCATGCATGCAAATCAACCATGATACCAAGCGCCTGGAAACACTCAGCAAAGTCATTCGATTTTTCACCGGACTCGGCGAACGCCCAACCAAGGAGTTTGAACATTGCCGTCACTGACGCCTCCGCCGACGCAGAGCACCCTGTCGTCGTAAAAGTGACGAAATCGTCGAAGAACGACGACCAAGGCAAGAGCAATGCCTTTGCACCGAGGAACCACAAGGAATGACTAATCCTAAGGAAAGCGTAGACTGCCATTGACGATCCGAAGGGCATGGCTTTCATCCTAAAGTACACCCGCTCATTCGTGTCTGGATGCACGAAGCAGATGTACGCTGCCCAGGCCGTGTCTGGGTGGACTGGCATCTGCCGGTAAGCTTCAGTAAGATCGAACGCCTTGCCTAAGATTTTGAACAAGACTTTGCCTGCCCTCTTTTTGATGGATTTCAGCAGTCGAAGACACGTGGATGCAACCACATCAGTAGATTGAGGTTGTGGAGCCTCATAGGCCTGCACTGCGAGGTTCACCCCCGACGAAGTCAAATTGTCAATGCACCTGACCTTCTGGCCTTGCTGGATTCCAAACCGACGGCTAACCAAGATCCCATCGCACAAGCTGGACTCGCACATGGGACCAACGATCCATCCTGCTTCTAGCTCCTTCTCAGTCTTGGTGCAAACTTCGGCTGCCAAGGCGGGATCCTGGGCCTTAAGGGAATTTTTAACCTTTTCCCGAAAAACTTTTGAGTCCTCCCTCACCTGCTTAGGCGTGGCTTGCATGGGCTTGAACTTTGGTTTAAAGACTCCCGAAATGGGCGCGTGCCCCACCAACGGGACTCCTTCCTTGAGAAGGCTCGACACACACAGGTCTGGGTAATCATATTTCTTAAGCAAAGCTTCCCACAAAAGGATGCGTTTGGATGCTGTAATTTCACGAACATCAGGGTGCATGCTGGCCTTCAGCTCCGCCTCATTGGATGACAACGAAGTCGCCAAGTGCAACCACTCCTTGATTACCCTAGCCCTCAAAGCGGAGACTTCGGCGTCTCCCAACTTGTCCAAGGATTCAAGAGTATCACTCAAGGGGGCCGGGAGCACAGAGCCCATCGACCTTGGGTGACATGATTCGGACGCTTTCCGCATGAACTGCTCGGGCTCCCAGGGTAACCCCCAAGCCATTTCCCAAGAATCAACTTTCACCAGTTCTTTCCCACCCCTATCTTGGACTATCGGCACGTGCCGGAGCAGCTGAGCTTTTGCCGGGATGTGTGCCAAGGTGGCACCACACTGTGGCGGCACGGGCCACGGCTTGCTGAGTCGTTGCATTGGCTGACAGGGCAGCACGAGCCCCGGAGGGTGCTGCAAGACTATTACCCGCTGGTGCTCACTAACTAGTGGCGGTATCTTGCTGGCACGAGGCTGGGCACCAGCCAAAGCACGGGACATAGGAACGTCCAAGCGAGGATCGAAAGCATCAAAAGTTTGTGGGGGCGATCGCCAGCCCTTTCGCACGAAGTGCTGAGCAAAACAGCAAGCCACCTGCATGGCCAGACGCACGGGGTAGGCGCCATGCAATGGGCATTCGGACATACTTGAAGGGGCGGGGTGTTTAGTAATCGAATACATGGTTTAGGAGATTTAGACAATCAGGTTAAGTTGAGTTACAAGTTCGTTAACATGAGTTATAAGTGCTGTATATATACTATGTTGTATGGACAACTTAGCAAGTCCGAGGCTTGAATTAAGAAGTGGAGCAAGCAGTTGAGTCACTTAGCCAAAAGCAGGGTGGAACTTATAAGTAAGATAGAACAAGTCTTTTAAGCAACTTGCCAAACTTAGATAACTTTGTGTAACTGATTTAGGTAAGTGGTGTAAGTTGTTTATTTGAAGTTGTTTTCCTGGCATTTGCAAAGCTTCAAACGGAAGCTTGCATGGAGATCTCCTGCCGCATGTATTCAGGATGCAATTGAAAATTGCATGGAAAGCTGCTGCATTGCATGTGTTGAGGACATGCTCGCATGCTTGCCTTCTGTGTATTGTGCATGACTCCATGCATTGCAGCCATCTATCGCCATTGCAGGGCCCTTGGCTCGCAGGCAGATTTTCAGCTCCGTCCTCCATCTCGCTTGCCCATCATGCCTTTGCAGTCGGATGTGCGAGAGCGGCTGCAGGCTTTCCTTCGAGAAGCCTCGGATGGCGACGGCCTTGTCCGAATCGTGGAGAACTGCTTGAACTACTTGAAGTCCAAGCATCTCTTGACCTCCATGAAGTTGGAGGCGAGCCTTGTGGGGATCCATCCCTGCAACCGGGATGGGTACGGAGTGAATCCACAAGACGTTCGTGATCTTGTGGACTCGATTGTCGATGTGGGCTATGTCCCCACACGTGTGCATGCGGTCGGTGTCGAAGTCGAAGGAGACTGGGTCCGGCAGTGGAACAAGAAGCTGTTCGAGTCAGCCCACGGTCTTCTCGGAAGCCTTGAGCCGGAAGCGATCAAGATCACTTCGATCTGCGGATCACATACCAATTGCGCTTTGCGACTTTTTCAACAAGGTGCAAGCCACGGCAACGAGGTCGTGAGTGTGGGTGGAAAGCTCAGCATGGAGCTTCTTCGTGCTCGGGATGCTTCGTTCCACGAAGCAGCTGATCAAGGCCTGACGTGGGACGTGATCTCCTCCTCCGTGGCGGAAGAGTTCCCAGAGCTGATCAGCTTGATATCCCGGTCAGGCAACACATCGCTTCAACGAGGAGAACATGAGCTACAAGTACTCCGTCGCATCCATTCCACGTACTACCGCTTGCAGACTCAGACTGGCCAAGCACCGGCTTTTGCATCTCTGAAGAAGTTGATATTGGCCAGCAAACCAAGCTGCCATGCCTCCGTACCCCACATGTTTACGTTTTGTCTGAAGGCTTCCGGGGGTGCCGATGCGAGCTTCCTTCAGGAGACGGAGTCCTTTGTGCGGGCTTACTGCCCTTCTTCTCGGCAATTGGGGCCTGTCCTGTGGGAGGCTTTCGGGCAAGATTGCCGAGGGCACCAGTCAGATCCCGTTGCAGCATTTCGCCATGCACTCATGAAGCAGGCATACTTGAGGCAGAATGTGACCATTGCTGATGTGAAGAAGATGACTTCTAAAGAACTCTTCCCCAAGGTCAAGGAAGCTGACAACATGATCCTCACGGTCAGGGGCATCTTAAGGGATGGAGCTCGCGATTTCATGACGGATTCGCGGGTCGTGCAGGCTCTGGCCACTATGGATATGACGATAGCATCGCACGTCCTCGGCATCAAGGTGCCGGACGAGAAAAAGTACAAAACAGTCCAAGCGATTGGGCACGATTTTTTGCTCGTGGCAAGAAACCTGACCGGTGTTGCACTCCCTTTGCCATGGGAGTCGGTGTCTGAGCAAAGTGAACCAGCTGCAACTGCAGCGACTGCTTCCCAGCCTTCTGCTGCAGGTGTGATGCTTGAGCTTGCTGAAGACGGCAGTATCAAGGAACCTGAGAAGATATTGGCCTCCAAGGGTTTCGCTATGGGTGCACACATCCGTCGCAAGGTTGACAAAATCGAGGGAGTTCTTTCAGAAGTGAAAGGTCAGATGGTCTTTGTGAAGATGGCTTCGGGAAAGACGGCCAAGGTGGATCTCAATGTTATCCTGGCTGGAGATTGGGTCGTGTTTGTTCCTCGTGTGCAGCCCACAATGCTAGACAGCTTGGACCAGTACCAGCACCATGTGGATTTTGATGCCAGCATTCTTGCATCGAAGATTCAGCTTGAGCTCTACAAGCTTCACCAGTCCATGGAGTGTGGATCGGAGCACCTGAAATTGCAGCTGAAGCCTTCGAGGATGTTGCTTGCCAACTCGGACATCAAGAAACTCTGCATGGTGCCCATGACCAACAAGGTCGTGCAGAAATCCCAGGGCCAAGGCAACACCATGTTTGAGGTGCAGACGGACTGGCAAGGAGACGACCGCAAGTTTTGGCTTTCCGGAGCCAACATTCTACCCAAAGATAACGACGACGACACTTGCAAACATGTGGTAGTTCCCTTTTGGTTGGTGCAGCACAGCCATCAGGAAGAGGATTGCAATGTGAAGCTTGTTTGGATTGCGGGAACAGAGAAGAGCATCAAGATTCCGGTTTTTAAGAACACCAAGAAGATCCCGGAAGGCAGCCCCATTGTGGCTTTCAGATCTAAACGGTGCAGGTGGCTCCCTTGGAGGAAGTGGAGGACGACCACAAGACTTCGGCGCAGAAAAGAGCATCGGCGAGCTCAGGTGGCTCCAGCAAGAAGGCTCAGAAGAAGTGATGTTTCGGCATCCGTATGCAGTCCAGTGTGCTGCTATACCAGCAGCAGCCATTGCTTGAGCTTGCAGTATCTGAAAGATTCCATTGTATGTATATGTGAGGTCTGTTTCTAATGCATTGCGGAGAAGGATACAATTGTTGCAGGTTGCAAGCATCCGAGGGGCATGGTTTTTATAGAGCGACCATTCATAGAGTGTTCTGTGCAGCTGCATGGTGCGAGGATCCCTCAGGTGTGCGAGCTTGTGCTGTGCGGATGGAAATGCAGTGCAGCTTTATATGCTTCTGTATGCAAGTGCAGGATGCATCGCCCGTGATGAAGTGCAGGTGCATTGTTGAAGTTGCTGCTTGCATGGATGTGTCGTTTTCGCCTAGGCAGGGCATGTGTGCTCGCCGGCAGAAAACAGCTCCAGCCTCGCATCAAACCATTTCCCCCGTGCATCGCATCATCATGGCTTGCTTCGAGATTGTGACGAAACAGGTTGTCGTGCTGGGTGACCGAAGCTGGATGCCAACCCAAAAGAGTGTCGACGACCGGGTCTTCTGTGCTGTCTCGAAATGGTCCCCGCAGCTTGTGAAAATGATCACAGGCAAACGACTGGACTTGCGGTCCGGCCAAGGGGAATCATCGGGGTCGCTGAACATAAAGCTCTTTGACGATTTGATCGAGAAGAGGCAGGCTGCTTGCGACAAGCTGCTGGAAGAGGCCCTGAGGGACGATGAAGCCGACGACGAGCCCAAGAAGAAGAAAAGCAAGAAGGATAAGGTGAAGGCTTTGGCCAAGCACGTGCACCTGTTGCCGGCGATCGTCGACATTACGATCGATGGCTTTCAGCTGTCGATCCTCAGCGAGGGCCTGTCTACCGGGAGCATCTTCGTGGAGATGCTCTCCGAAAATTTCAATTGGCTCATGGAGCAGGCGAATCGACAAATGCCTGTCGATCGGAAGAAAAGAAGGCACAGCTCCCGGGACAAGACCGATGCCAGCGAGGATTCCGACAAGGAGGCCAAGAAGGTTCCAGCGGCGAAAGCCAAGGGCAAGGCCAAGGCAAAAGCTAAGAGCCCGGCCCTGAAGAGCATCCTGAATGGCTCCCCGGCCAAGAACCCGGCCCCGAAGGGCATCGTTGGCTCCCCGGCCAAGGCCAAGAAGTGATTCTGCATGCAGTCTCGCATGTATCTTCCGTGCATCCATGCAATGTGTATACTTGATGTATAGTATGTATCAACACACCGTGAAAAAAAATATATATATATATACATATGTATATATTACTGTCAATGATGCAAACTCACAACGGCTCCACACTTTGATTGCCCGATGCTGTCTTTGGACAGACGACATCGACCGAAGCTCTCTGAACATTGGTGTCGTGTTTCTGCATGCACATTTGCCCTTGTTGCAGTGGGTGCCACGTCTGCGCCATGCTTGCTTTTTCAGCTCTTTTGGCTTGTGAAGCTGCCGTGGTTTTTGGGAGTGATGATGTCCTTTAGCTTCTTGTCGCGAAGCCTTCCCTCCGCTGTGGAGGTGGGGCCCCTGTACAACCACATGCACACACATGCCACCGCCCCAAAAATAACAGGCCGATGTGGTGGAGCGGCTGCAGCTCCACACGGACTTCTCGAAGTCCGGGAGGGGGAAATACAAGAATGATGAAGGCCGGTGCCCCCATGCAAGTGATATGGATATATAGCCTTTCATTTGGTTGCAATTGTTTTGCAGGCACCACGATTTCCTGGTCGGCCAAGATGGGGTGGAAGATCCTGTCTGTTGGAGGCTGCAGTTATATATAGTGTCTGCATGGAATCAAGTGAATTGGCTCGTGCACTCGTGCAGGTGACATGTACTTCAAGCACCCAGACGTGCAGGCCATGAACGTGCCTGCCAGCCCTGGTCCTAGGTGTTTTCTTAATTTGGGTAGAAGAAAACCGTTGTCGCCTAAGGCGGGTGGCTCTACTGGAACGACGATGTGGGAGACTTTAAAGCTTCTGTGATATGCCTGGAAGGCCGGGTATTTGAAGCTCAAGGAGTCCATATGTATATATCCATGTAGTTGCAGCATGCAGGCCACGAGGAGTCGGACACCGTGGAGGTGGACGTCGAGGATCCAGCGGCCGAGCCCAGCATGCCCGACATGTCATTGCAACTGCTTTTGCATGCTGCTCCATCGTACATATCTAGTGTGCCTGCTCGCCAGTTGTGCTGAAGCCGGCGAACAGCAAGAAGCAGCGCCCAGCGGAGCCGAAGGCGGAATTTCTTCGTAAGGCGATATAATGTACTTCTTGTTTGATTGCAGGAGCCGCCTCCGAAGAGGTACATGGACCCCGTGCCAAAGACCAAGGACAGCAAGCATATAGCTGTTCACTGTGTATATAATGCATGCTGCATCTGTGGCAGGCTTTGCCCGCGAACTGGGACGAAGGACTTCTTGTGGTTGTCTGGAGCCAGGCTTCTTTGCAAGTGTTTGTTGTCTGGATTGAGGAGATCTGATGCCGGACTCGAAGGGCAAAGGGCACTACGTGAAGCCCAAGGCTTTTTCTTTGGGTCTGGCATGCACGACTGCACTTGTCTCTATACTGATGCAGTCTTCTTGGGCAGGTCGCTTTCATCGACGAGCACGGCCAGGCTTGCCTTGGTCTTTGTGATGGTGCTTCAGGTTTGCCTTTGCTTGCTGCTGGCCCCGTTGCAGGAGTGGGCGGCGGGCATGGGGAGAAAGAGGGCCCGGACACGTGGTGGCCAAGGTGTCCGGGCACTCCAGGCCCAAGGGGCACTCGAGGAATCGAGAAGCCACATGGAGGACCCTTGCTGCTTGCCAATCCACGAGAACAGCAAAGCTGAAGACACCGCGAGCCCCGACATGCAGGACTTGCGGGCCTCCCTCCACACCATGGGGGTCATGGCCGAGACGATGAACTTGCAAGAAAAGCGAGTCCGTTGAGGCCTGTGCTGTGACCGAGGAGCCTTTCTGTCCTGATGGTGTTGAAACTTATAATGCCTGGCAGGATCCCATGGTTCCTGCCTGGCACCCCTGGTTTGTGGCCTGGAGACCAGGGGAGCCGCTAATAGTTGGAAGCTCAGACCGCCTGTGTTGCTCTATATACGGCCTGGCCTGCTTGCTTGGATCCCAAGGTCCTGCATGCTGTGAGCAGCGAAGGACCTGAAATTGGGGGCATTTTCCGGCTCGCCGCTTCGGGCACAGAGGGTCAGGGCTACCAGTCCCGATGGCCGGGGTTTATGCATGCATAAAGCCCCTTAAGCAAAATAGACCGGAACTTTATGCATGCATATGGCTGGGTTCAGTTTCCTAGGGCGGGGCTTATGCATGCATAAACCTCGGCAGGGCCAAGGGCACAAACCTTTATGCATACATAAAGGTTTCGGGTTTTTGGGGTCAGGCCCCTTATGCATGCATAAAGGGTTGCTTTCCCAGTGCCCTCGTGGTTCCCTGTCCTCTGGCCTCTCTAGGCAATAAGTAGGGAAACTATATAGGTAAGAAATAGCTTTGGGCTGCAGAAGACGAATCGGCGAGGGGGCTATCTCCCCCTGTATAGCCGAGGCTTCGGGCTACCGGGGCCTCGTCCTGTGACTGTTTCACGACCACAGACCATATGGGCCAGTTTGAAGAAAAACCGCCCATCCTCCGAGTGTGCACCGTTTGGTCAGGCCCATGAGGCACACAGACCCCCATGGCAACATGTGTGTGTGTGTGTGTGTTTGTGTCTGCGACAAAGAGCAACAAACGAGGAGAGGGAGAGAGGGAGACAGAGACAGAGACAGAGAACGAGTGAGCGAGGGAAGGTACAAGGGGGTTGGAGGGAGGGGGGGTTGGCTGTGAAGGAAGAGACTGCTACATAGCAAAGTGGCTGCATGGATTTCACTGAAGTACATATACATACACAGTTTTACACACTCTGCATATATACCTATTACATGTGAGATGTGTATCTACCCCACACACACATACATATATATATATATATATATATATGTATATATACACGATATGTATATATATATATATATACATATACAGATACCAAAACATATCGTTCATATATTCTTATATACACATATATATATATATATACATACATATATGTGTATATATATTTATGTGTATATGAAATGGACTGAATCTCTGAACTTACATACACATATATTACACACTTGCATGCCTGCAGGTGTCGGTATACTGTAGTAACATGGCTGTGCTCTTGAGGGTGTCTACGGGTTCTGCTGGCGAGCTCAGAGCCCTGCCTGCGAAACCGAGACCCCTTTGGTGAAGAAGTCTTCCGGTCTGTGACTGCATGCAATGTGAAAGACGTCTCCAGTGGCAGGCTGCATGCTTGTGTGTTGCAAAGCACATGCACTCCATCATCTGCCTGCTGCCCGCTGCTGCTCTATATAGACAGGTGTTCGCAAGCAGGGCTACAGCAGCTCGCTTTGTGCAGAGCATCTGTGCTATATCCGGCCGTGCAATGGCAGCTGCTTTCCTTCGACAGCTGAACCAGCTCCTCCAGACCCAGCAGCCCATCATGGGAGATCAATGGACTTCTCTCTTGGCTGCTCAGAGCGAGGTCGCCATCAGAACGATTCGTCAAAGCCACATCACAGTCGAGGAGGGTGCAGAGATCTGCAGCTTGGTGCAGCAGGGCCTTTGGTCACACGAGCAGAAGCAGGCCCTGGGTGCAGCCGTCTCCCAGACCTTGGCAGGCAGCACTCCAGCAAATGCCAAGGCCAAGAAGAAGAACCAGGAAATTCTCAACTTCTGGGGTTTCTTGGGCGCCGAGGACCGGAGAGTTTTGTCCAGCGACGACACCCTCGTCATGAGGCTGACTCACACTGCTCAGATAATGGCTCGACTGGAGATGTTCTGGCCATCAGAACAGTCTGTGGGACACATCATCAAGACCCTGCAGAGTTGCAACAATACTGGCTTGCAGAGCCCCGACGAGTTCCATTCGGCTGTCGTGTGCCTCAAGAAGAAGGTGAAGACCATGCTCAAAGATGCTTCCTGTGGCGAGTTCGTCGCCAAGTACACTCGGCCTGAGGATCTTCCACCACACACCCGAGATCGCTTCGCAGATGCCTTGGGAGGTGAGCTGCCTGGAACAATGGTGCTGGGCCGTGATGCTCTTCGTGGCAGTAACAAAAGCCTCTCTTTCCACAAGAGCAACACTGCCATGGTGCTGGGTGGTCCAGCAGCAGGCCCGGCAATGCACATGCCCCACACCATGCAGGGTATGATGCAGTTCTGGGGCAGCATGGCAGCTAACATGTTCAACCAGCAGCAGCAATTGGCGAAGAAGAACGATGGATTGCCTGGGTTGAAAATCTTCGGCGACCCAGCTGCTGCCGCCTCGTCTGGGACGATGGCCTCCTCGCCTGCTCAACAGCAGGCCTTGCAGCTTCCTACAGTTACCAATGAACCGGCACAGGGCAGCGGAACAAAGCAGGCCGAGCAACAGGGAGTGCTGGCCAGCAAGGATCCTGTCAGTGCTGCACAACATGCAGATGAAATGCTTCAAGCTTGGAAGGGCGACAACAAAGGGTTCGACAGCACCGTCGAGGCCGAGGCCAAGGAAAACGAGGCGAAGCACAAGGCAAATAAGAAGCCCAAGGCTGCAGCCAAGGCCAAGGGTAAAGCCAAGGCCAAGGCTAAGGCGAAGGCCAAGTGCACGGCCATGAAGTCCCAGCCCAAAGCAAAGTCGCAGCCCAAGGCGAAGGCCAAGGCTGCTTGCAAGGCGAAGGCGAAGTCGCAGCCGAAGAAGGTCCAGAAGGCTTTGCAGAAGTTCACTCGAGAAGAGGTCCGATGCATGACTTTGTCGGCTCGCATCAAGCTGCGACCCAATGGGTGTGCCAAGTGCCGGGAAAAGCCCGGCTGCACACCGTCGTGCTTTGGCCCGTGATTGCATCAACAGCTGCTGAAAGCATGCACAGCTGGAGTCCTATATAGGGTGAGAGTTTGGAGGCTACAGGCAGAGTGTATACATCTTAAGTCTATATGCATGTTGACGTGTTTTGGTGTCTTCCAGCATCAGCAAAGTTTTGTTCGCGAGCCTCCAGGAAGCATGCACCTTATTATTCATCTTTCACAAAGGCTGTGTGTACATTAAAGGCATTGTACCTCGGGAGGTATAATGTTGGGAGCATCGCTTGCCACGGAGGGAAAGACCGAAGCGATCCTGGCAGGTGTCAAAAGCGGTGGTGCAGGATGCCTGCACGATCCGGGTTTTTGTTTCGTGGCATATTATATATGTGTTATATACATATATATATAGATATACTTTACATATGGGATGTATATATATATATATATATATATATATAGGAGCCTATATATACTATATATATATATATATGGGTTGAATATATATTGATATATATATATATATATATATACACACACATATATTATACAGGGGTGTCCTTTTAGGAGGGTGCGAATGTGGACCCTTCTTCGAGAGCTATGTTGAAGCTTTCGAGTTGTACATGTATATATTATATATGGCTTTGCGATTTATTAAGATGTGTCTCAGGATCACGTTTGGTGTTAGGTTAGGTTTGGTGTGGTATATACTATATATATAACTGTATATACATGTATATATATGTGTACAAATCAATACTCGGATGCTATATATCTATAGCTTTCGGGTTTCTGTGTATACATATATATATATATATATCAAATATTTAGTTTCGGGTTTATGGTTAAAGGTTGTCTTGGCCTTGCACTGGAGTTTCCCGGACTGCTCGCAGTGGGGTTGCACCGTTGCAGCAATATGCTTGGAAACCTGCAGGAACAAAGAGCATGCATATATACATGTAAACAAAACATATCTCTGTATATATATATATATAGATATATAAGGTACGTACACAGTGCCTGCATGCTCCCATCCACTTTTCCTATATATAGTATACCTTTTATACAGATATACATATATATATATATGTATGAATCTGCAGTCAAAGTAGTGGGTCGCTCGGCAGGGCCAAGAGCTCGCCAGCAGACCCCATGGCTTCCGCCGGGAGCTCCTCGCTCTCCTGCTTGGGAAGGAAATCATATGTATCCCAGCGAGGTCTCAGTCAGGTCTTGCAGGAACTCAAAGAGCTGCCCGAGTTGCCATCTGGGACGAGTCGCCGAACACTGAAGCGGGCCCGGGATGAGAAGACTCGGAGCTACCAAACTGCTTATGGCGAGATCCTATGCGACTTCAAGTGTGTTGCCGAAACTGGTGTGGAGTTTGAATTTCCTGTCTTGAACCCAGCTGCAATGCTTGCCTGGGCGACAGAGCGATGTCGACCATTTGGCGAGTTCCTGGAGAGGGCCATGGATGCCACACCCCCCAGCATTCTTCAACCATGGGGATTGGTGTGGTATTCCGACGAGCTGGCTCCGGGCAACCAACTCAAGCACTCCAACCGGAGAAAGGTCCAGGCTGTATATTGGAGCCTGCTCCCTTTGGGACAGCATGCAATGGGTTGCGAAAATTGCTGGTTCACTCTCTGTGCCATTCGCAGCTCTCTGGTCGCAGATCTCGGCGGCATGACTGTGCTCTTCAGGCAGCTAGCAGCCTTGTTCTTTGAGAGACCTGACTTCAGAAAAGGTCTTGTGTTGCAGTGCCCTGGACAAGCACGTATGCTCTTTGCCGACTTGAAGATCATCATATCCGACGAAGCTGCAATTAAGGCTACCCTTTTCAATAAAGGAGCCAGTGGGCTCATATTCTGTGTTCAATGCCAAAACGCCGTGGACCACAAAAGCAGCATTGCTGAAAGGAGTCGGGGCAATATGGTGTCCGGCCTGGAAACCGACATGAGTTGCTTTCGGATGCACACACCCGAGTCTATACGAGACACCATGGACTTCTTGCGAAGGCAAGAGACGGTCCTCAACAAAGACAGATTCCTGCAACTCCAAACAGCAATGGGGTTCAATTTCAAAGAGGATGGATTGCTGGCACATGCAGCATACGGGCCTCCGGTCATCGAGTGTGTGATGTTCGATTACTTCCATATCTATTTGGTCAATGGCATCTTCAATGTTCTGACGGGGTTTTTTCTTGGAGAGCTTCACAACCATGGCTGGAAGCACAATGACATTGATCGCTTCGCAAATGGTTTTACCTGGCCTTCTCGTTTGCGAGGTGCTGCTGCAAAGGATATCTTGCAGAAGCGAAAGCCAAGCGAAACCTTGAAGTGTGGAGCCAGCGAGGCTCTGAACTTTATGCAGCTGCTGCGACTCTATGTGCTAGTCTTTGTGCTGCCAAATTGCAGCAGAGATATCCGGGACTCTTGCGAGGTTTGGTTGGCTTTGTGCAAGGTGATTGATGCTTTGCAAGCGATCAATGCCAAACCTTCAGCATTTACCCCCCTGCAGTTGCAGCAGCTCATCAAAAGGCATCTCGATCTGGCGAAAAGTCGGTATGGAGATGAGTGGTGGGTGCCAAAGTGTCACTTGGCAGGCCATTTGGCGCTGCAACTGGCCAAGCATCAGGTCCTCCTCAGCTGCTTTGTGCACGAAAGAAAACATAAAATCATCAAAAAAATTTCGAATGAAATTTTGGATACAAGCAGAACCTTTGAGAGGAGCATCCTACAAGATGTACTCCATGGTCACATGGAAAGTCTGGCAGAGGGTGTATACCTCCCAGGCCAAGGAGTTCGCTTGGTCGACCCTGTGAGACCAGCTCCTGCCAGATTGCAAACAGAGATACACAACACGATCCGGGTCCAGGGTGAAGTCTTCACAGCCAGGCAGGCAGTGCATGGAGGAAACTTCACCGTGGCTGTCGGCGACTTGGCCTTGATGGATCTGGATGGGGTCACTGCCGTAGGCAAAGTGGCTTATCATGTAATGTGCGAGAAAGTTGTATGGTCGCACATTACCTTCTGGACACATGTCCATGGCTGTATGTATGAAGTCTCCGACGATTGTGGCCTCGTGCAAACCCGACTGATCCGGGCCACATGCCCTTACAGCATTTCGGGCAATGCTGCCATTGTCGCAGTCCCGCAGGTGTAAAAAAGAGAACTGCATGCGAGCTTTAAAGCCCTGCATTGCGTCTCTGAGCAGCATGCTTCATGCAACTTAGATCACTTAGCTCACTTATCTTTTTCATATAAATACACTTAGCTAACCAAGTTAACTTCAACATAGCTAAGTTCAATAACTACACTTACACATCTCATATAAGTCATTTGCTAACTGTGCCAAACAATTAACAACCTGCATATACAATTACTAACACCCCCGCCCCTTCAAGTACGCCCCTGTCTGCAAGGGCCGCCCGGGCTGCCCGGGCAAAACCTAGCAAGCTTCGAAAATGAACGATCGGTGACAGCGAAAATGGTTGTACTCAAGTGGTTGCCCTCATATGCGCATTCGTGGCACGACACAAAAGTAAAATTGGAGGAGACCTGGGTCCAACAGTCAGATTTCCAAAACATCCCATCGCCCGCCTGGGCCAAAACGCAGACCGCCCCTCGGCCGAGGACATGTAGCAAGGCTGATGCCAAGAACTGACCCGTAGCATCGGTCAAGTGAGCAGGCGGAGTCACAAAGAGGCCGGCTAATCTAGGCGAAGATAGCCACTCCATGCACAGCTCCTGTCCTTTGGGCGTGGCCAAATCGGCCTGTAGGCAGGTTGAGATGGACCTGCGCTTGTCAGCATCTACCCCGACGGCTGACAGTCCCAACTGTTTAAGACAGGCAGTCACCCGACCGGACCCCGAAAACAATTCAATGACTAAGGGGTCGCACCAGGTTACAGGATCAGGGACGGCATCGGTGATGCAAGCAGAATTATCGCAATGCTTAGAAGGCAGTTCACCCAAGTGGGCCGGGACCACACCCCGCGGGCAGGTAGAGTCGCGGCCCTGAGAGCACGACACTGAATCGAATGCACTTTCTGGAAACCCTGCTTCCAGCAGGCGTCGGCGGTATTCCGGAGACAAGCTTACAGCGTGATTAGGCTTGAAGGCGACAAGCAGCACCCGGTCGCCAGTCCAAGGCATAGTGCAGTGGGTTTCACGGGGGTTTAGGGTACACGGCCCATCGGCAACCCGAACTAAGGACCCAGAGAGGCTAAACCCTAGCCCCATAGCTTGAGTTAGTTAGAAATGTAACTAATAGTTAAAATTTTACCTTCGGCAAAATTTTAACTATTAGTCAAAACTCATTTATGGATATATAGTCTCGTTTGGGGGGAAAATATCCTTAATGTTTTGTGTCCCGAAAAGCTGTGATTAAGGATATTTGCGTTTTGACTAAAAGCTACGATTAAGGATATCATATCCATAATCGCAGCTTTTAGGCACAGCTCTGGCGACGAAGTTTGGTCGAAACTTCGACCGAACTTCGTTGCTTGGTGTCGCTGTTTGCCGGGGCTAGGTGACGAAGTTTGGGTCGAAGTTTGAGTCGGGGTTTGGGCTGCCTTTCGTGTGCTTTGTTGTACGCCGACGAAGTTTGTGAAGAAGTTCAGAACGAAACTTCGTCGAAGTTTGGGCCCCGGGCCATATCCAGAATTCGTAGGATTCTGGATATCGGTTTTGGAGATCTTGAAACCCCAAAACAACGAGGATATTTCCTAGGATTTTGGAGATGACCGACAAGACTAGATCGTAGGATTTTGACTATTATCAACCTGGGATTTTGGATATCAACGAGGATATATATCCTTAATTGAGTTTTGACTATTAGTCACGATTATGGATATATCGTGTGATTATCCTAAAGGTAAAATTCAGACTAACTCAAGCTATGGGGAGCTCGTCCTGCACGATGTCGTTGCCAGGCCCTTTTTGCCAGACCTCCCCACCTTGGAATGTGGTGATCGGAATCAAGTAGTTTTGCGACCCCAACTGGTTGTTTGCATCGACATGCAAGGCAGTCTGAAGGTTCTTATAAATCGCAACAGCAGTGAAGTCGGCACCTGGAAAAGTTTGCAGCACAAGCTTACACCACAAGCGCGTACAAGCTGGGAAAACTGAGGTGTGTTTCCGGACGCCTTTGAGTGGTCCTTTGGCATATGCTCCTGAAGTCCAGGAGAAAGTGTTTGGTGCCTCTTGACCCCATCGCTGGGGTCTCACTCTCAAGCAGGGTGATCAATTGCAAAACATCGGCAAGCTTTCCTTCCCGAAGCTGTGAACAAAACTGCTCAGCTGGGTGCACCGGCTCAACGGCTATTGTCCCCGGCGTATCAAGCTGAATGGAATCTGGCATCGGTGAGTCCTGACCTCCAGCTGAGGTCGATGTGACTGACGTAACAGCGGCCCCACTGTCATCGGTCGGCACAAAACCTTCCGGTACACTTTCCGACGGTCACTTCTTTCTCTTCGGACACTCCTGAAGACCATGGTCAGGTGCAAAGCACAATGCACAGACATGCAAGCCTTTGGGGCACGGATCCTGAGTGCAGCCGCATGGCAGATTCCTGGAGAAGCAAATGCGCTTCTTATCGGGAGTCTCGGCAACTCCACCCAGCTTACGGATGGCTTCTGGCACACTGGGCTGCCAAGTGCCCTTCTTGCCCTTCCCTTTGCCCTTGGGGGGCTTCGCGATATTGGGATCCCTCTCAACCCCGGGCTTATGTGGTGTGGCGACCCTCTTCTTGCTTTCCTCCGACTTCCGCGGGAGGAGAGCTACAGTGACGTCAAAGGACTCAAGCGTGGGGAGCAAAGCCCGATGAACAGGGTACGTTCCATCTGCACTCCTTTTCGGACTGATTTCGTTTTCGATCATTCGCGTCCAAACCTGCCTGTCTGCCGTAAGGAGCTGGTGCACACTGGTCCTGGCATAGCCTGGCGGGGGCTCTCGCCCCATATGCCCAAAGAGTTTGAGCACATAACGTTCATGCGCCACGTAGCTGGCGACACCGGCGAACTGGAGAGCCACACCTCGGCGCTTCAGAGCCTCCTGCAATAGCAAGGCTGACCCGCAGGCAACTTCGGGCAACCCTTTCTCCTCAGAAATCGCCAGCTTGCCCTCTTCCAAAGACAGGACTTTACTCTGGGCCTTGACGTTTTGAATCTCATACATGCGAGTGCCACACTGCTCGGGAGCTATGTAGCGAAGCTGCCCCTCTCTCTCCATTCGACAAGCTGCATTCAAGAGCCCGTGGGAGGGCTCCAATGGCCCCTCAAGCACAACACCCGGTATGCTGGCACGCACGGCTTCCATCCTCTTCTGACGCTCAACAGTCGGGACATCACGTGTAGACCACTTATCGGGCTGGGTCACCTGTTCCCTGAGGTCATTAAGCAAGAGTGCCTGACTCTCGAAAAGAAGTCGCTTGACGCTTCCTTTCTCACCCAAGAGGGCCGCCGGCATTACCGTGGAAATGAAGTCATCAAACTCAGATTGAGGCAAAGGCGTACCCGGTTGACCGCAAGAGTAAGCCAGCTTGCTCAAAGTATCGATCCCATGGTCCGCGAGCGCCCTGAGGCTTTCGCGACTGAGGCCCACCTCGGTACATCGCGACTTAAAGTGGTGCGTACTCTCTACAAGGGACGTCATGTTGAGCCCACAGTCTCAAGACGAACACACTCGAGCTCAATCAAGCAAGTAGCTAAGAATCACACATGTCATGCGAAAACCTCGACACACTCACAAAGCACTTCGCTACGAGCACCTCGCTCCCTGCTTTCTCTCCCGCACATGATACATCCATCGTTTCGCCCAAAAGCGCGCTTTGCGCGGGCCATCATACATTGCGCCGGCAGGTCCGACACTCTTTGCCTCGACTAACTTCGGCCCTCGTCGCTTCACGATAGTTCCCACTTACGGGTCGCCCACATGCGAGCAGCATCGGAACATCATCGGGGCTAGCAAGCAGATGCAAGACCCCACTCGAAGTGTTCACATACCACACCTGGTCGGGCACCTCGACTTTAGCTCGCTTCCACCTGCGAACAGCAGGCTGAACCGCCTCGCTCGCAGATGACGAGGAGGAGGACTGCGATGACTGGGAAGAGTCGCTGCACTCCTTGTCTGAAGAAGCAGAGTTCCCTGCCTCAGAATCGTCGCTGCTGACCACCTCAACTTTGACAGGATTGGGCTTCTCAGCTCCTTTGGACGGGAACGCCCCATCATTAGCGGCTCGCCTCGGGAAGTAACTCGAGCGACTGTTATCAGGGAAGAAGTTCCCCGATGCAACCTCCCTAATCATGTCCTGAAGCCGCCTCACCGGCGCCGCCGACAGCTCTCTGCTGTAGATGGCTTGCGTTGTCTTGACTGAGGAAGCATGCCTCCCCAAGATGCTTTTCAAGTCCTCGTCGAACCCGAACTTACCTCCCCAGCCCAAGCAAGTGCCTCTCAGCGAATACGCAGTGACCCTGGGGGCCGAAGGATCGGTGACCTCCTCAAGCAGACCCAAGAAGGCTCTCAACATCTTGCCCACTTCAGCTGAAGCGATGGACCTCTTCGAGGAGACGACCCCTGACTCGTCGGCAGGTGCAAAGGTCAGCGGACCCCGAACCGAAGTCAGGCTTCTCCCCGCGTTCCGAAAAGCGGTCAAGGCTTCATCAATCCAGCACTTTCCATTGACCCCTATCATGGGAACCAAGATCGGCAAGAGCTTAGTCTTAAGCTGCACCTTCCTGGCTCCTTTGTGCTGGGAGACTTCGAACACTAGCAGCGGGTAGTCTGCTCCAGGCGGGCAGTCAACCTCGACCGATTCAACGAACAGGAAATCGCTCGGCGAGCCCTAGCGTGCAGCCTAATCAGCAGAGAAGCAAGGAGTGCGCGGTCAAAGCAATGCAAGTCGCGTGCAGCTCAAGAACCTGCGAGACTGTAAGATCTTTCGCCTGGCGAAGCCAGCACGAAGTGAGCGACCTGAAAGCACTCAGAATCGAAGCGGCCTTAGCCGGCGCAGAAGTTTCCTTGAGGAACTGCACAAAATTCCACACCTGCACCTCACGAAGCCTGCTTGGGGCTCGTGGACATCCACCACCGAACAAAGTCCAAAGGATGCAGCACGCTTGTGAATGGTGTGCGGTGACTTCACTCCCACAGCGGCCGAGACA